CAGGAAGCTTTATCTGGTAGCATGAGGCAAGTTTCTTGTTCTGTCACTGCAGCTTCTTCCAGCTCCTTCAAGCACTCTGCCAGCCACATCTGTAGGCTGCCAGCTTCGGCAAAAGTCTGCCCTGTTTCCATCTGGGCTACACCCTGCCTTGCCAGGTGTAGGAGTACCTCGTTCCTCATATCCCTAGGGCAGAAAAGAACCCCCTCTTCTGCCTTACTACAGATGCTGGAAACATTTTGTTCCTTAAACTCCAGAGTTCTTCCCCGTTGGCGAGGGACAGACATTCAAAAAGCCAGAGTCTGAATTGATTCAACCTTTGCAGGTTAGTCTAACCTGCCTAGATTGAACCAATTTGGAAGTGAACATACATTCGTGAAGTAGAGGCACATGCCTGAAGTGGCTCAGGCCAGAAGCCGGGGGGTGGGGGTGCTAAAGTGGGCCTTCAGCTATAGGGAAGCTGTGGTGGGGAGGGGCCATAACCAGGCCCCCGTCAGTAGCCTGGCACAAACTAGCCAGAGGGGGTTTACCCACCGGCAAGGACCTGAGCTGGGGTCTGCCTAGCATTCCCCCTTCACTACTGCTACAGCAGGGCACCATGGCCTGAGGCAAAGGGGACAGACAGGGAGGTTAATCCCCCCTCTGCCCCCAGGGGACTGAAGCGGGGTCTGCCCGCCACAATCACAGCTTCTGCCAACTCCATGCACAGGACAAGTGGTGGGATAAGCCCACTCCTGCCCAATCCACCAGACGGAGAAAGGAATAAACCCACTCCCTGCCCCCCACCTAAGAGGCCCTGCCAGCCAGTGTCTGGCCATGCCCCCACCCAGCTGCTGCAGCGGTGGTGGGGAGGGGAGGGGAGGGAAGGGCCCTTGATAGGGCAGCAGCCCCTGTCAGAGTCAGGAAGCGCAAGCCCCTTCCTGGCAGGGGTGCTGTGCTGCAGGGCAGGCAGAGCTATGGCGGACTGAATGTGGCAGCTCCCCTTCCCCAGCATCGCTGCCACAGCCCACAACAGTTTTCCTCACTCTGCAACATGCTCCCCCAGGAAGAGGCATGGGAACACTCAGGGAAACCATGACAGGGGCTGCTGCCCCCGTCATGGTGCTCCCCACTACAGCTGCTAGGCAGGGGTGGGGCCAGATTCCAGCTGGCAGGGCCACTTAGGTGGGGAGTAGGGTTATTCCCCACCCTGCCCCCTGGGCACTGCCACTCGCTCTGTGCCCAGGGCAAACAGCAGAATAAGGAGAGAATTACCCCCCTTCCTGCCCCCCCACCTCAGGCACCACACTGGCCCACTATTGCAGCAGCAAGGGGGGAGTGCCCAGCAGACCCAGCTCGGGTCCTTGCCAGTGGGACAGGGACGGGGGGAATTAAACCCCTCTCTGGCCAGACCCCCACCCCTGCCTATCCCTGCTTGGCTGGGGAGCAGAGGGGCAGGGCTAGTCCTACTTGGCTGGAGTATATGGAGATGCTGAGGGGGTCTGGTTTAAGTTAAACCAGGAAGGGGTCTGGGACAGACATTACATAAACTGGTTTGACCCAAATCAGTTGAGTCTAATAAGCCTGGTTGAATATAGTATCTCAAACTGGTTTCAGCTATTTTGACCTAGTTTGTGTACGCTGAACATCTTTTCTATTACAGGTTTAAACCAGATTCTGATCACTTAAATCGGTTTGTGTGATGTCTGTCCCTAGCCCTTGGCTCCTTCTCCTGGGAGCTAGTCTTCTTACAGGTCCCAGTCATTCTAAGGGACTGTCTTTAATAGTCACTGGGCTACTATATATATGCCCACTCCCCTGAAAGTCACCTTGAAGCTTGTAACAATATCCCTGGATTTAACCATCTAAAATAAGCCAGACTGTTTGACATAACATTCAGTACACTGCCCAGGTCTCTGCCACCAGTAACAGGGGCATCCAGAGCACCTGAATTGACTCCCCTATCCTGCAAAAAACCTGGCATTCACTCAAAGGTATAAAGAAGAACCTCAGGATAAGGTTCACCAGTCAAAAAAGCAAGACTTGCCTAAAGTATGCTCTTCAGATGCATGGAGACTCCCTAGAGGCTGCTTGTCCAGGCACTGCAGAACCAGTGCAGTTGCTGGTATTGAGCCCCCTACCACTGCTCTAGATCAGCAAGTTGTACCTCCTCTTGTGCAGCAGAAATGCCTTAAAGAGCTGCTGCTGCTTTGCCAGTAAACAGACAACATCCTCTCTGATGTATTATCTTTCAATAACTTGCTTAAGAATGTAAAAATGTGTGCAAATGCATTCCAATTTTTTTTCACATAATTACCACTATTATGTAACTCACTACTTGCAGTTACCCAGTCCATTTAAACAATTAAGAAAACCACCCAGATTAAGTTTGCAACAGAATCAATAACTTGCACTTCTCTGATTTTAAAAAGTAACTGTAAGTCTTTCTATATTTTCCAAACTGTGAAGTGGATTTGATGATAACAACAACAAATTAATGATTTTAGGCTTATTTTTGCTATGTTTATAAGGCATTTTGAGAGCCTCAGGTGAAAAATAATATGGAAGAATACATCCCACAAAAACCCTGTTCCTTGCCCCACTAAAGTCTGGAAGGGGCAATTTTAAAGCCAGCTATAATCATTAGAATAAGATAACTTCATTTACTAACACGTATAGATTATGTAAGCTTTCTGAATAATAAGTATGCAAAACCAACATAAGTTACCTGTATCCATTAAAATATCATATATTGCAACATTCAAAAGGATTTTAGAACTTAAACCATGCAGAGTTTCAGACTGTATTATATTTTGAATGTTGATGAACTATGATAATAATGAGATTTTTTTTTGCTTTTTTATAGGGCAGAAACTAAATTGTGGTCTCCACAAGTTTCAGAAGATGGCAAACAACATCCCTTCAAAATAAACTTGGAAGCTGAACCACAGGTATGAACTGTTATAAGTCACCAACCTACTTTAGAATAGCTATACTGTTTCATCCATGGTCATTTTAATTCTCTATAGAGCCCTTCCTTTACTAACTGCCTAATTAACTGTTATGATATAAAACATAAAATATTAACTGTATTGGGATGTAATTTTAAATGAATAGCCTTTTAAAATTTTTACATTCATGGCTAAAATTAAACTTAAATCTTTTGTGCCCAAGACGTCCCAAATACTCCCAAAACTTCACAGTACATCTATTAGAGGTAGAAAATATGCCCTCTAATATGAATAGCATTAAAATTACTGTCTCCCTTTTTCATATTTCATCCATCATATTAGGAATTTCTTCAAAAGGGTTATTCTATTGTGACAGCACAGCAGACTTTTTGGTGTGATAAACAATTGAATAATTTAATATTCAGTTAATGTTAATCTTGGTTCTCTTCAATTCAGTAATAACTGCAACACTATATAAAGCCACAGAAATTCTGAATTTCTGGAAATTTTAAATATTCAGCTAGGCAATAGTTCATTTTCTCTGTGGCTGAGAGAAGCCCTGGATGGATCCCTGTCCATGAGCAAGACAAAATTAAATCAGTTTGCATTATTTCCCAATAAAAACCTTGTATCTAAAGCCTGTATGTTTATGGGGAAAGTTTCCACATAGCTTGTCAACAATTAGCCACTTAGGCCATATATAAACATCCCATTTGTGCTGGGAGAAAAGCCTTCTTCTGGCACAAAAAGAAGAACACGTAGATGTCCAAGAACTTTCTTGCAGAAGAAAAATGGCTCTTCTGCAAGTTAGATTGGTTACCTATGAAGAAGATCTTCTTCCTCCCAATCTAATTTGAATGTCTGTACACTTCTCTCAGGAGAGAGAGAGAGACATCCAGTGTCCTAGAGTCCTCTGCTCTCCCTCTATCCTTCTCCAAAGGAGAGGGAGAGATGAAGACCACTGACTCCCTGATAGCCCACCCAGGGGAGAACTGTCAAGGAGCCCTGTGAGGACCCTATCCCACCAGTCAGCTGATTAGCAAAAGGGGGGATATTCTTCTGAAACAGGAACCTTCCCAGAGCTCCAGGAGGGTACCTCTGAAGAGAAGAGTCCCCACCTAGTACATTCCTCCAGGAACCAGAGGAGTGCAGTGGGCGGCAGGTGCAGGACTGGAGCCCTCCTAGATCCCAGGAAAGTTCCAGCTCCAGGAGAATTCCTCTCCCCCACACCTGTCCCATCAATCAGCTGACGGCAGGATGGGCAGAGGGACCATTCTCCTGTGGCAGGAACCTTCTCAGAGCCAGGGGGTGGTTTCTGCTGCAAGAGAAGAGTCCTTACCCATTGCCTTCTTGCCATTCCACCGAGATAACAATTCTCCTGTAGCTGCAAGGCTTCTAGAGCTTATGACCATGCCTAGGTACCCTTGCAGCTGCAGAAAAATTGTCCTCTCCCTCACATGACTCCATATCTTCCAAGAGCTACATTAAGGGCAGGTAGCAGCTATGCCGTAGCTGCATGGCCACCTGGAGTTGGGTGGCCCTGCAGCCATGGAAGATTGCCAGGAGACTGAAAAGCACCCAGGCCTGGGAAGTTATTCCTGGCCCTGGTTCATGGTCGGCAGACTTCAAATGCTGGATGTGCTGCCCAACTGGGTGGTACTCACAGCACTTTAAAAGGGACAGCTTCCCCAGGACACAGGTTCTGGAAGCTGTCCCTGCTCTGCTTCCCCTTGCCCTGGCCTATAAATCACTTTATGTACAACCCAGATGGCACAAAAGCTGGGGGGGCTGCCTATTGACAGCCTTTTAAAAAGTTTTAATTCACAAAAGTTAGAAGTTGCTGACAACAGTGAGAAAGACAGGTGCAATAACTGAATTAAATAAAAGTCCTCGAGCCAAAATGAATGGAAAAATCCAAAGCACTATCATTTCTTTTCCACAAACTTTCCTACATCAATAAGCTTATAATTCACTAGCTGTTCTGCAAACAGGGGAAATCATAACGTTCTATTAAAAGCATTTCCTCCCCATGAGTCATAATTGGATTTATTCCAGATCACAGATATGGTAAACACAGGACCCCTTTCAAAATCCAACCATAGCTTTTTTTATTCTAGCCCAGAAGGAAAACTGATAAAAGTTCAGTGTTGCTGCAATTAATATTGGAAACATTAGGGAAAAAACAAGAATGTTACAGAAAAAAAATAATGTAAATAATAATATGAATGAAGATTTCTACCTAGCAAAAATCTAGCTATGACAGTAAAAAAAACTTAAAGAATCACATGGTTTCTGCTTATGACAATTATAAATAAAGGTAGAAGTAGTTTCTTACACCAGCATGCTAACAAAGAGTTTAATTTAAAAGTCAGCAGATGCACTGCCACCTCATGGAAGGCCATCTGTATTTGAAAACAATAATAATAATCATCATCATCATCTGTCTAATTCCTGGTATGGAACTTGAACTTGGAACTTGGAACTTTTATCATAATAAAGCAGTAGCAGCAGTGAGTATCACAAATCCCTTCCCTCTCCCTCCCCTCCTGAGACACAAAAGACATAATCAAGAAGAAATTCAGCAATGGAACCTAGGGCAGCAACACTGCTAAATTTGTTCCAATACAAAATATTGTCTTAGAGCCATCTCAATAGGTTCTGACATGACATGAACAAGCTAGCTACTTTCATTTGATTGAAGTAGCATATGGTATAATGAATAAATATTGGGAAATAATAGCCTATATGCAAGATTAGGAACACAACCACATGTGATCTTATATCAAAAAAGGATGTCAACTAATTTAAACAAAATGAGATAATAGATCTATGTAAATGGCAAATGCATGTTATATTAATTTATAAACACCTCCTTTGGTTTACAGCTTTTTGTTGTACTACCAATGTAAAACAGCCTGGGAAAACTTTTTTTTTTTCCTTATTCACCTCAATAACATTAATATTTGTTTCCCTCATCGTGAGTTCTTTAAAATATATACTTTTACTTTGGCTTTAATCTTTGGATTTCCTGTCATTTGAAATATGATGTTCGGTGTGACTTGCTCTTTGGATAGAAGAGAATATTATACCTCCCCTACAGATTTCATTAGAATATATACAACTAAGGTTAGTAATCTAAATAATGCCAGAAAATACATTTAATAATTAGTATTATAAAATATGGGATCACCGTATATTACTAATTACAATTAAATTTTAAAGCATGATAATTTTGCTAAAATGTAATTCCCAATCCCTTCTCCCTCACAACCCTGGCTTTAATATGAATTTCCATCATTTCCCAACATTGTGTTATGAGCATGGGGTTCTTCACAGAGGTTTAAAAACTGCTTGGGACACATTCACTCTGTTTCTGACAGAGATAGCCTTGAAAGTGACTTAGCCCTATGCTAAAAGAGGTCATCTGTTAGCAAATCAATGAAAATAAATCAAATAGTATAATTTTTCCTTATTCCTGTTTGGAATATGAACTGCCTTTGGCTCATGTTCAACTTCTGGAATAATGAAGCACCCTTCACACTTTTATTTGATTCTAATAAACACAAGAGCTGGACTATTTTGCTGCTGTATGTTTTGTCATTGATATTTTCTGTAGTTAGTGATTTTCAAAGACAATTCAGTCTAACTAATTATAGCATGGCAAATACACATGACAATTGTTATACTGTGAACATGCCATTATGATGTCACATCCTGTTCAATGTTCATTTATCAACAAAAATTAAAAACTGGATGAAATGACAGTTTTCAAGGTTATTTTTTGTTTGCTCATAGTAAACTAAATTTATATGACAGAGAGTGTGTCTACACATTCAGTAATGTGCCATAATTACGGCACATTAAGTTTAGTACCTGTGATGATAGGTATTAGCTTACTGAGCTGTAAGTGGCATTACTGTGGATTAGCACAGATGAAGGTTTTTTTTATGTGACATTAATGAGAAGTAGACTAAATCTACTGTGCATTAGCACAGGTTTTTCCTGCCACGCTAATGCATAGTAAAATTAGTCTTCTGCTCATTAAGTATCTCATGTAGACGGGCCCAGACCCAATCAAGTTTAAATATTTTGAAACTGTGTTGAATAAACATAATTCTGCATAACAATAAAAATAAACTCTACTTATTAATATACCTTGTTCTAGTGCATCACTTAATCAGTGTGCAGAAACACAAAATTGAAAGTGAACTTTTGCATTGATTTACCCTTGTGCTGCTCTTAAAGTCTCTTCCAGTTTATTACTGCTTAACTTTTTCTTTTGGTAGAACTGTTTTCTACTACACGTATATGCATCTTCTGGTGGGCATCCTATGTATCCATGATTTTCCTTCTTTTAAAAGATAATGTCTAAATTTGCTATTTTATGAATACATTTACAGGGCCAATTCATGTAAATACTTTCATGCTGCTTTTGAATTATTCAGAAAAGCTTCTGAATAGAGTTGTAATTTTTTTTCTGTATTTTGGTTTAATCAAATGCATATGTTTATTTAATTTTTTTCGAATATCAGTCTTTAATTCAGTTAGAGATGTTGTTATTTTGTTTGTTAGGTTCTGGCACTGCTCTTCCTAAAAAATATGTTAGCATTATCTAAAGATGGGAACCACATACACAACTGCTCTTACTTTTGAACTTTACTTAGCATACTGCTGAGAGTGGTTTGTTTGGTTGCGAGAAAATATAACCTTTTCTTAAGGATATCCACATTTGCAGAGTCAACTTTAAAATGGAAAATTAGATTTGCCTATACAAATGCATATGCAAAAATCCATAGCAGCAAATATCACATGCTGTGGTTTCCAAATAAATTCTATATATGCAAAACTAGGAATAAAATCAGGATCTCTGGCTCCTAAACTGTAGGCCTCTACAACTTAAAAAGAAGAATAAGCTGATTTAGCAATATTAGAATTTAGATTCCTGCTAAGCCACATACCTGAGGGTGATATATTATCATAGAAATCATGCAGAAGTAAGACTGGAAGGGACCTCAAGGGATCATCTAGTTCAACCAGGATCGAACCTGCAAGGATTTCACAGGTGGAAACGGTTTTACTTGTTTTGAGGATTTTATCTTTGTTAACTTCTTAGAGGTCTTACTGCTTCTCCTAAGAAGCAAAAGACAAAATATCTTTGCTCTGAGAGAGTTTTCTGCTCTGTGGAGTAAGTCATTTGTATTCAAAATAAGGTAGTAATGGCCTAAGTTTTTCTGTTTTGTCATGCCCCCAACAGGAAATCCATCTGGTCCTAATTCCCTGTCATCTCCAGGGGAGCAGGCAGGGGGAATCTAACCTATATAGCTCACCAGGAATTAGCTAGAGAAAATGCAGCAGAAAACCTCATTGCTTTCCTACAGAACCTATCCATCTTTCTGGGTAGTCAAAGGACCTAGAGTCTAAGAGGCTCTCCCAAGACAATGCAATTCCACAGGCCTGCAGCAGTACTCCACAGATTTTCCATAAGTCTTTAGGTTTAGAAACAGGTCCTACAGATTTTATCCTTCCCTCAGGCCCTAAATGAGATGTCAGGAAGGGTACCTGTGGGGTGCAGGAGAGAATGATCTGGTACAATAAAAATCATCATTATTTCAGAAATAAAACTAACAAAAAGTATTCCAAAAAAACCCCAATTCCTAGCTAGCACATCTAATTTTTTTACTATGATGCTAAAATATTTCAATTCTGCCACATAATTCACACCGATTCTTGACTTACGTATTAGTTTTGAAATACAAAATCACTTCAGAAGGACATTCTCTATTTAACATCAATTTAGCTAAATTGATTTTAGTCAGTTTTAGCTAAGACTTCTGTATCATTTCCTCTCTAGGCTTTTTGAGTTTACAGTCCTATTTTGCCATTTTTTAAATTGTGTTTCTCTCTCCTACTGCTGTGTTAATAAGACACACAAAAGAAGACAGGGACCAACTAACAATTAAGTGAAGCAATTAAGCTGAATATACCCAAAATATTTTTACCTTTATACCATCTCAGAAGTTACTGACGTTTTGCACATATATTGCATACACACCACTAATTTGGTTTGGCATGTGGCAGACCAATAGTATCTGAATTCACATGGCTTTCACAGGTCATGGGATTTTCATGGAAAAGCATACAATTCCTGCCTAACCTATGTGTTTACTGAGTCAAGCAGTCCCAAAGGAGAAAGGTGCAGAGCTTAATAAAAGCAGTGTTGTCAGTTTTGCTTGTTATTTGCTTCAGTGTGCATTGTAGCTTTGTGTATTTTGTCTGCCTATTATGTACAGGAATTCAAGCCTATTGGTACAGCTCATAACAGAAGGGCCCAGCCTTTTGTTGCAGCAGCAAATATTGATGACAAAAGACAGGTAGTGAGTTCCTCCTATAATTCTCCAATTGGGCTGTATTCATCTGTCAATATACAAGATGCACTTCAAGGACAACTGAGAGGTTTAATTCCTACCTCAACTCAAAAGTAAGTATTGGTAATTCCTCATATTATCTGTTCTCTGGTGGCTATATCTCAATCTGCTTTGTTTTCAAATCAAAAGTCCAGCTCTTGCTGTTTTATTTTTCTTCCTGACACTCAAAAGTTCTATCATTCTTCAGAAATGTTGATAAATGAAGCAATTTCTTACTTTCTGACATTCAGGACTGAGTATTCAACTACATAGTAGCAATACTAAAGATAGGTTAAAAGTTTCCAGTCTCTGGGTTTGACTGCAATATTACACATTATCTTTCCCTCTGACACTGCCCTCTACTCATCTGTGTTTCTCACTATAACAGAAAGCGTGTTTTTAATATACTACTTTATAACATAAAAGCAATTGATTCATAACAATTTGTAAACTTACTGTTAACTAATTTATCCAGCAAATAAATATTTATCACCTGAAGGAAATTTATTTCGATCCTTTTTTCTTTACAGGATATGGGATACTTTGAGCACAAGCATAATATTCGTCCCAAACCTTTCGTAGTCTCAGGCCTAAGCAGGTTATAAGATCTAACTGTATGTTGTGGTGGATGCAGATGCATGAGTATTTTTTAATGAACACTTACAGATCCTATTAGTACATGAGCAATGTTAATGCATTGTTGTTTATTGTTCTGAACTCATTATTGCTCACGTTTATTCATGAGCAACGTTAATGCATTTGGAATTACTTCATGCTATATAATTTATGTTCAAGCTTGAAACAATAAAATGCATGTTTTGCAAAGCTCAGGCTTGTCATTCAAAATTCCACTACCAAAAAAAGTGAGTCTGCATTCTAATCTAATTTACACTGGTGTGAATCTCGAACAACTCAACTGTAGTCACTACGACTGCAGTGGCTGTGGCTTATGTTTACAATTGAGCTCAAACTCTCAGTTTTTACTAGTTTATGAAGCCAGGAATTTGTGCATGTGTATAACTTGTAAACTTGCTACTTAAGAGCTGAATCCAGCCCAGTTTGTGTGGGGAGCAACCCCCCCCATTCTCATCTTTCAGGGGAAGGGCAAGGGGGGTTGCCCTTCCCCTGAAATTGATGAACTTCTAATCCACCTATGTGGCAAAGACCCTCATACTCACGCTGCAGCAGGCTGATGGCTCCAGAAAGCCACAATAAAAGAAAACTGAGTATTAATGAGTTGCAAAGCAGAGAGCTTGTGCAAATTAGCATCCTTTTTTTTTCTCTCCCTGTCTCTCTCAGAATTAGATGTGGAATACTTGAATTAGAATTATTTTATCACTATATTATACAGAATTACTTCTAGAGTACCTTTTATTAGACACCTTACAGACACACAAGTGACAAGATCTATACTAGGGACAAAAATTACACATAAACTAGTATAAGTGATCAGAAACCGGTTCAAATCTGTAACACAGCAGAAGTTCATTGCACATAAACTGCTTTCAAAATAGCTGGAACTGGTTTAAAATAAACCTGGATGGATGTAGTATCAGACTTAACTGATTTAGGTTAAATCAATTTATTAAACTTCTATTCTAGATCCCCTCTAGATTCAAGTTAACTCACAATCCCCCAGAATCACAAAATGCACTTCCCCCACAACTCCCTTTCCCCCTTTGCATGGAGGTCAGGTTAGCCTTGGCACAAGCTGTCTGCTGCAGCCAAGCAGAGAGATCTGCTCTAGCACCCCACTTCTGGCCTGAGCTGCTGCAAGCATGTGGCTGCATTTCTGGAATCAGAAGAGAAGGTCTGCTCACTTGCTTGTTAGCAGGGCTCCCGCTTTCTCTGATTTAAAAAAAAAATCCCCAATTTTTGGATTTAAATATAATCCAAAATCCATTTTTTTCCATGATGAAAATGAAACACCACTATTTAAGCATGGAAAATGTGGATTTTGGGTTACTTTTTTATTTCATTTAGTCCTAATGGTTTTCAATCTTTCCAGCTGTTACCATTTTTAGTGAAATCTGATGAGAAATATTTATATCACTGACCACATTTCCAAGGAAAATATTAGAATTTGCTTCCAGGGGCTGATTGGTACAGAGTTTCTGATCGTACTGAAATTCCTTCATAGAAAATGGTGATTGTGGACTCTGTGTAAACTAAAATAATCCAATAACAATCATGCTATAAAAACTGTTGTTTATATAACTAGAGGCAAAAGCCAACCTAATGATTGCCAAGTCTGTGATGTATCATGCAGAACTGGTACTGACTATATGCTTGTGGTAGCACTCGCATACTATTTAGTTTTGGATACTTAAGACTACTTTATATTTATTGTGTCTTTTGAGACATCATATGTAAATCATGCGATGTTTTGTGGGGATGTTTGTCATTTTCAGTGAATATTTTAGAAAAATGGCCATTTTATAGCATAGCAGATGTCAAATAAGCTACAAAAATTAATTTGATAACATGATTTGGTTAATGTTTGTAAAGTACTTTAGCAATGTAAAGTTCTGTATACTTCAAGTTTCAACTATTTATTATGAACCTCACTTAAATGATGCTAGGGTTGCAAAGCACTGATAGTAGCATTTGTTTGCCAGTTAGTTATTTACTCTCTGGGCTGCATACATATTCTTTTTTTAAATGGAGTAAAACCACCATCTCACTTGTAAACATCTCTTTGGGGCATAAGGGCACATACAAGCATTACATTTAGATCACCCTAACCAAAATTAGCATGATATAAATGGCCAAGCATGCAAGCATTTGTAGGGCTTAGAGTGCCCTGAAAATAGTGCACCTGATTAAAGTTAATGAAAGGTTAACCCAACCTAGAGAACCCCTCCCCCACAGACCCACCAGACCTGCTGGTCTTGCCAAGTCCTTCCTCCCCCAACCTACTCCAGCTGCCTACAACTCTCTCTCTCAGGCAAGTGAGGAATGTCTGCATATGCAGAACCCAGCTCAGGTTTAGGTGGCTTAAACTAAGCTGCCTAAACTAGAGCTAAATCCCACAAATGTTTGTTCATACCCTAATAGATTCAACTTTAGGTACAACTTTCAACTTCCCACTGACAAAAATAACTGGCAGAAGTATGGAAACTTTATACTAATTTAGCATTTCTTTTCCTTGCAATGGCTATGCTACATTTGGCCTCTTCTCAACGCATTCCACCTTTGATGATAAGACTGTTATAAGTTCCAAATCTTGTCCTGCTGCAGGATCAAAGTCCTCTAAAGCATGGTCACTATTTCTCTTGAGTATGGCCTTGTGTGTCTGTGACTGAACCCTCATCTGAGTATTTTGCCTGGCTGATGATTGCACACTTGCTGGTTGATGATTGCACGCTTGCTTTGGAACATGCCTCTCTTTTTGTTTGATTTCACTTTTATGGTAAGGAATGTGTTTCTGCCTCAATTTTGAGAATATGGTCCTGCACAAATTCTACATAAGAATCAGATAGAGAACTTTTCCTCTCCACAGAAAAGTAGCTGTTATGCAGGAATTGTTTTGTAACTTCATATGTGCAATGTAAAATTCTCTCTGGTATATTTAGGATCATTCTGGTTAGGTACAAAATTACACATGGAGTGGTATAAGTGATTGGAAATCAGTCTAAATGTGCAACAGAACAGAAGCTCAGTGCACATAGAGCAGTTTAAAAATGGTGAAATCCAGTCTGTGACAGACCTCGATGGAAGTCGTATCAGATTTAATCAGTTTAAGTTAGACCCGTCTATCGAAATTCTGTCCCAGATCGCCTCCTCACTTAAGTTAGGTCACAGTCCTCTGGCATCCCAGGATGCTTTGCGGCTTCCCCACCCCTGTCAGGGTAGGTGGGCTAGACTCAGCTGGTGCTTGTCTGCATGCCCTTCCCCCACCCAGCTTGCTGGCTAATGTCTGGGGAGGGGCTAGGCAGGGTCCACACAGTGGATGGCTCCATTTCTCCACTCCCCACAGCCTGACCACCTGACAGCTACAGGCAAAAGCAGCAGCTTGGACCTGCACAGTCCACCACACCAGAAACCGAGGGTGGGGAGGTAGAGTGGAGGCCCTCCCCCAGACTTAAGCTAGCATGGGAGGGCTTCCATGGTGGTGGGCTCTATTCCCCATCTCCCTTCACCCTGCCCAGCCACTGCTGACAGCTGGAGTGGGGGCAAGGCTGGGGCTGCACTAGCGAATCAAGGGTGGCTGGCTGCTTGGCATTTTCCTCAGCCAGTACAGGCCTTCACCCCAACTCCGCTGAAGGATGAACATGAGTTCTGTTCACCCCCAAACTAATCTAGGGTGCTTAGAAAAAGTCATAAAAGTAGTGAGAATCTGCCTTGGGCTTTCTGAATGTCTACTTAGTCTCAGCCAGGGAAGAGCAGTCACTATATTAGCATGTAAAAGAGAAGCAGCAGGTGGTATTACATACTTTCCCTTGTGCTTGATAACCATGTCTGTGAACACTTCCAGAAGTAAATGTTCTCAGATGACCATGGAAGACCTTGATTATGTATTGTTCCACCACAACTGGAGAAAATTCTCCCTTGTGAAAAAATACTCTGAAGCAAATTAGGGCTGGAAAGAGCCATATATCCTGTGGGGAGAGTTGTAAATATGGTGAACTTGGGAGAATTCGAAAGCTTTTGGATATGATACTTACTAAGTTACTTTACTAAAGATTTTCTAACATTTTTGCCAAATTGGTGAGTCATGACTGAACAGCAGCTATAGTAAAATTGAAGCTGTAGCCAACATGCAGGTTTTAGGCTAAGTCAAAACCAAGCTCAACTTCAAAAGTGAACGTGACCAAAAATCTATATTGCTTTTGTGAAGGGCCATATTACACTCTGCTGAAAATGTTAGAATTTAGAATGGCAAAAGTATGTCTGGTTACTTTACTTGACTTTTGGAATTTTCAACAAAATAAAGCAAATGTATAAAATAAATTTACTAATAACTTTAAAATATTATAAACAATCTCCCATAAGATCTAGAAAACCTCATTGAAGAGAGGGAAACAGAGTGCTAGGACACAAGCCTGGAATCAGGATTTTGTGGTTCCAATTGAACTCTGCTACTGAATGATCTTGGGCAACTCCCTCTGCTTCAGTTTCCCACTTGTAAAGACCAGGTAGTTCCTGTCAGAATTACACAGTAATATTACTTGCCAAATTTCTTCAGCTTCCCAGTTATATTTACTGCCTGTGAAAGGGGAAAATATATAGAATGTCTTTTTAATTGAGCTTGACCTTTTTTAAAAAAATGGAACTGCTTTTAACTAAAATAAACATACTTTTGCTTTTCTCTGTTTAATATTTTTCTCCGACTTCTTGTTAACATCACTGCACTCCTTTATTTTTGTCTTTATTTTGGGTATTCTGGCTTGTGTCGCACTCCTTTCTGACACTGGCTATTAACACAGTGGATGCAATACTCCTTGCGGTATTGATGGTAGCAGTGGACGTAGCACTCCCTCTTCTGTTAGTACTGTTAGTACTATTTGCCCAACAGAGCTGAAAGCTGCATCTAAGATGGCCCCTAACATTCCCTTGGAAATGGAGCTTCCTGGTGTCAAGATTGTACATGCTCAGTTTAATACACCTCTGCAGCTGTACTCAGATGACAATATTATGGAAACACTACAGGGCCAGGTTTCTACAGCTCTGGGGGAAACTCCATTAATGAGGTAACTAAAGGCCTTCTGTTCATTGAGTACATTTACAAAACCATGAGCACAGGCAAAAAAAAATTTATACTCAGGCAATGTCTAATTTTTATACTCAATTGTTAACATTGTATCTAAATAATAACTGTTTTTACAGTTTCTATTCAAATGCCATTCAATGAAAGATCTTTTTTTTCTAGCCCAGATTGTTAAAAGTCTTTCAGAATTTATAAGAGGAAAGTTTTACGGAACAGAGTAACTGAAAAAAATGTGTATTTTGTAGTTGATAAATAAAAGATTAAGACTTTAGCTATTTTCTTAATCTACCCCATCTGGGCCCTGATTCTGGAAAAAGCTATCCTCATTTTAAGTACAATAGATGTCACACTGAGTTCAACTGGACAACTTAAGTGTTTAAAGTTAAGCAGTCACAAAAGTATTTGCAAGCCTAAGACCTATGCTATCTATCTTTGTTGTCTAAACAAAAAGACTATCCTACACTGTCTCTTAATATCTATATTCTATTAGAATTCTGCATGCCAGGGAGGTCTTGTAGATATTCCTTCCTTTCTAAGTCTATTAGAGAATCTCTATAATGATCATAAGTACTCTTCGTCTGGTTTTGAGGTTAAGTGCAATACTTCTACAGTGCTCCTCCATGTCTAGAGAACAGTAAGTTATTACTTTTATCCATGGTAGTTAAATCCATGCTGAAATCCTTGAACAACTAGGAGTAGGGTGACTAAAATGGCAAAGAATTAAAGAGTGGGCTCCAAAACCAAATTCAGGCCATGCCTGTAATATTTTGAGCGTAAAACTTTTTTTCAAGGTACACTAGCTCCCTCATTAATAATTTATTATTTCCATGTCTTCCTCCTTTATTTGCACTGTCACAATTTAACTACTTTTTATTCTGTTTTACTAACAGTTTTTAACAATATGTATGGCATTGCAATTGAATTATGACAAATATTAAAATTTAAGTTTTCAGACAATAACATCAATTAGTATTCAGGACACTAAACACCTTGCTGAATCAGGCCTGTCTAACTATTAAAAAATCATACTTATCCAAAAGTACTTAAGCCAAGTTCATGATGGAAACAAAATTCTACCTACAAGACCGTTGTGGAGTGACAATGTTGCTCTATTGCCTGGTTATTCACCCTCAACAGCATTAGGATAACAACAACAACAACTTGCTTTTTTTGCATCTGGAATCATGCATTAAGTCCATGGTTATCAAATTTAACAGATGATTAAGTTTCCTCAAGTTCGGGAACTGACCCTGCACACAGCTGTGAAATGTCTCAGTTGGTGGTGGCTCCTTTGGCATGAACTTGGAAATGCTATCTTAAAATCTTGTCTCTGATAAGTATTTTGTGTAATTCTACAGTAGCCATTAACTATGATTTGCTTAAAAATAAGAAAAACCAAAGAAGAGTTGAAATCCATTATTGGCAGTGATATAGTTTATCTTATTTAAAAGAAAACTTCCTACTACTTCAGCCTTTCTTCTTTGAAGTTGCATTAAAAGCAATGTTTATGCCTTAATTACCCAGAGTTAAAAGTTGTATAGTTAGGGATCATGGTATTCTTTTAAAAATGGCTCAGAGAAATCTGGTTGATTGCAAATATTTATGCCATCTAACATACCAGTATGGTACAAACTTTTTTGCCCAGTCAGGGAGCCTTTTTCTGTTCGATTTCCAAACTTGACTCTCAAAGAAACCCCGAACAGATGAACAAATACTAGGCTGAGTCCAATTCCCTTAGAATCAATGGGAATTTTACCATAAGTTTTGATGAAAGTAAGAAAAAGCTCATAATAAGGGATTTAAACTAAACATTTACCTGTGCATAAATGCCATAATATAGTTCATTCAATTATATATCTATGCTCCTATTTAGTTCCCTTATCCATCAAAAGATTAACGATATTTATTTGAACATAGTTTCTAACAATGCGTCCAGGATTTCCATATTTTATCATTCCTGCACATTTAGCTAGTAATATCACTTAGTTTAAGATAACTAATGTGAAACATTGTGCATAAAATCTTGGCCCACTGAAGTCAATGAAAATTTTGCCATTGCCTTTAAGTGGTCAGGCTTTCATATTGTGTGTTTATTATGTGATAGCCAATGCAAAGAAAAGTAAACTTAATTACTTGTTTAAAATAGACTTTCCATTCAACAAAGCATGGCACTTGAATTCTTGCCACAATACAATATTTATTTCATTATTTTCCCTGTTAATATACATTAAATTAATCAGAATGACTCTTAATCTAACAATCAATATATTAATTAGTGATTGATCAAACAGTCTTGGAAAGACTGACCAGCAGATGCTCTGCAGAAAGGCAAAGGAGTTTAGGTTTCTGTTGACCCTTCCTAAAAGTGAGAGTGATATCTTCCTTTTAAATACCATTCTCAAAACTATTTACCTTGAGAATTGTTATTTTGTAAAATAGATCCAAGAGCAGAAGGTGACTTGATTGCCAACTCAGAGAGGTGCAGCTGTTTTGAGAGTAAAGTTAGGTAATGGCCCATTTCCAATGCTTAACTGTAAAAATAAAAACATAGAGTGCCCGTATTTATTCTCTTACTATATTTGTACATCTTATTTTTTTTATTTATAAATCAAGAGATAACATGCCAGACTGCTAGTCCCCTAAACTTAACCTATGATAATGAAGTACAGGTTAGCTAAGGAAATACAAGTTGGATGCATGGACTGTAAGGTGAATAGAAAACTAGATGGATTGTCAGGCTCTAAGGGTCATAATCAATGGCTTGATATCTACTTGAACCCTCAGTAATGTTGGGTGACACCAAGCTGGGGAAGTAGTAGATAAGCTGGAGGGTAGGCCTAGGATTCAGAGCAGCCTAGATAAATTGGAGGATTGGGCCAAAAGAAATCTCATGAAGTTCAAAAAGGACAAGTGCAAAATCCTGCACTTAGAACAGAACAATCCCATGCACCGCTACAAGCTAGGTACTGACTGGCTAAGCATCAGCTCTGTAGAAAAGGATCTAGGAGTTACAGTGGACAATAGACTGAATATGAGCCAACACTGTGCCTTTGTTGTGAAGATTAACAGCATACTGGGCTGCATTAGTAGGAGCATTCCCAGCGCATCAAGGGAAGTGATTCATTATTCCATCAGAGCAGCCATGTCTGGAGTACTGTGTCCAGTTTTGGACCTCCTCCCTCTATAGAAAGGATGTGGACAAATTGGAGAAAGTCCAGCAGTGGGCAATGAAAATGGTTAGAGGGCTGGGGCACATAACTTCTGAGGAGTGGTTGAGGGAATTGGGCTTTAGTCTGGAAAAGAGAAAACTGAGAGGTGGAGATTAAATAGCCTTCAACTACCTGAAGGGTGGTTCTAAAGAGAATGGAGCTAGGCTGTTCTCAATTGTGGCAGATAACAGAACAAGGAACAATCGTCTCAAGTTGCAGCATGGGAAGTTTAAGTTAGGAAAAACTAACTCACTAGGAGGGCAGTGAAGCACTGGAACAGGCTACCCAGTGAAATTGTGGAATCTCCATCCTTGGTGGGTTTTAAGACCTGAGTAGAAAAAACCTTGGCTGGGATGATCTAGTTGGGGAAGGTTCTGCTCTGATCAGGACTAGATTACCTCCTGAGGTTCCTTTCAACACTAGTTTTCTATGAGTCTATGAACTGAAAATCAGGTTAGAGTCTCTCTCTCCAGCATCAGCAGTAATATATATTTGCAGTTTAAATATAGCTGATAATTTTGCTAATGATGTCTGCAGCATCATTAGGAAGAATAGTGAATAATGACTATTATGGCTAATAACCATACTTAGCACTTAAAATCCAAGTTACCCTTCCATGGAGGTATTTTTCTGCTGAATAACTGCAATTGAAAAGCTGAATTTGTCAGTAAAGAAGGAAATATAAATCAAAGACACAGTCAACAGACATGTTGTCTATTAAAAAACATCACACAAAGTAATAGGAATGTAGGGCTGCTGGAAGGGATCTCAAGAGATCATATAGTCCAATCCCTAGCTGGAGGCTGGATCAAATATACCTAGACTACCCGCAAAAAATATTTGTTTAACCTGGTCTAAACAACCTCCTATAAGCTTTACCAGAACCTTAGGTGACCTATTCCAGTGTTTTACTGAACTTATAATTAGAAAACTTTTCCTAATATCCAACCCAAATAATTTTTGTTGCAAATTAAGCTGATTTCTTCTTATCCTTCCCCCTGTAGGCATGGACAGCAATTGATCACTAACCTCTTTATTACAAACTCTCACAAATTAAAAGATGGCTATGTGTCTTCCCTCCGTCTTCTCTTTTCTATATTAAATAAACTCAATTCCTTCAATCTTTTCTCAATAACTCATGGTTTTTTAAACCTCTTAACATTCTCTTTTCTACTCTCTCCCTCCAAATAGGCCAAATTGCAGTGTGAGGCACAAAACTAAATGAAGTACTCCACCTTAGGCTACAAAACCTTTATTGAAAATAAAATAGGCATCATTGTATCAGAATTTCATCACTGTATAAAACAGCCTATCTGGGGAAAAGGGTCTGTTCAGGAGGGGTATGCAAAGCAGGCCATATTAGATTCGGATTTGGATTCAGCCCTAATCAGGGACAGTGATTTGATTCCTTGATTCTGATCATTGTCCCTGATTCAATTTGACTGAATCTAAATCTGAAGATTCGATGTTGATTTGGAGAATCAGCAATTTGGCCATAGACACAGTTTTAAACATTTTTTCTATATACATCGAGGTACCAGGCAGGGCTCATGAATGCTGCCATGGTGAGGCAGATGAGGCATCCCACAGGAGGGGGGGCCCCATGTGCTCGGCGGTGAACCCAGAAGTGGACCAGAAGTCCTTCCGGTCCACTTCTAGGTCTGCTGCCGAGCGCATGGGAGCCTCCCTTGAGCCCCCCCAGCTCAGCGATCAACCATGGGGGGACCGTGGATGCCCTCCCAGACCCAGGAGGCACGAGTCACTGAGCCAGGGGGTGCAGTGGGGCCCCTCAGCGCGCTCCCCGGCAGACCCAGAAGTGGACAGAAAGTGCTTCTGGTCTACTTCCAGGTCTGCTGCCAAGCATTCACGAGCCACCTGGTACCTTGAGATATATAGAAAAAACATGTAAAGCTGTGTCTATATACAAATCATTGAATCTTTCTGAATCAATTCAGAGGGTTCTGATTTGATTTGGAGAGATTAAAGGGTCTCCTGATTTGATTCAGATTCAGAGATTCGGCCACCAAATTGGGTCGAATCTCTGCCGAATCTAAGGAACCAAAGCTTTGCATAGCCCTACTATTCAGTATTCTTTAATTTGTTATTTATCTTAAATTTATATATTGAACTATATTCTATGTCTAGCAGCTTGACTGTATTAAAAGTTACACTGGTTAACTGCTTTTATCCCTCATCCCTTGTTCATGTTTCAGTGAACCAGTACCCACCTCAGTGCCTCAGTCTGATGTGTACAGGATGCTGCATGACAATCAAGAGGGGCACAGCCAACCTCGTCAATCTGGCTCCTTTAAGGTGCTCCAGGACTTAGTCTCCGAAGATTCTGGTTAGAAACAATTTACATCTGTCTTTTGGCAGCATTTTTGGTGTATCAGTGAAAAGAGGGGAATCTGAAAAGAGTTTGGGTTATAAGTGTCTATAAGAATCTGATTTATATATCTAACTTCACATTTTGATGAAGATGTTAGATAATATTCCAGCCCTTTACTGACTGGCCTTTTTAAAATATTTAACATGCTACGAAAACAACAAAATAGACTTCAGACTTACATGTCAATCATTTTTCAGACTACCTTGTTAGGTAGTTAAGACTGTTAATGTGCAAAAATGCTTTGACTTAATAAAAACCTTACATGAGAGAAGTTTGGGGATAGGATAAAAATACCAGTGAAAGATACAATGTATGATAATTTCTTTCTAAACCAAGAAAAGGAGGAAGAAGGATTTAAAACTCTCTAAAATTAAGTTTTTCCCCTACCCCCCCCAAATTCTAAATGAAAAGAAAAACCATGCTAAAATTGGTTTGAGAGGACAATAGAGATTGCACCTTCATTTCCCTCTAATTATACTGCATCAAAATTATTATAATTGGTGAGTTGTCAAAAACAAAGCAGATGAGAGATTGTGAAATTCTGCCTGTTTTATTTATAGTAAATGTAAAGATCAGAACTGAAGCAAAATTAATCTAAAACGCTAAAACTAAACAGTGGTGTAGGTTGTCAAACTAAACTAAACAGTGGTGTAGGAGGTTAGTCAAAACTAAACAGTGACATGAAAAATGGATGTATATATCATAGCGTACTTCTGCATCCATTTTGTGATGATTGATTTTCTATTCATAGTGTGGTATCAATCTTTTAGAATCCATTTTCAAGTTAATTCTATAGACATAAAGTAATCTTTTCATGACCCTAATAGAGAACACCATTCAAGGCACAATCCTATCCCAATGAATTTAATGGCAATATGGAAGTAATTTCAGCAAGACACAATTTGGCCCTTAAAATTAAGGTATCACAAAAGGAAAGCAAGATTTTTGTTTACAGAAACTTCAACTTTATTTGATGGAAGTGAAAGCTTATAAATCAAGAGAAGTAGACACATTACAGCAAAGCACTGAATCATAGCCAGGTGCATCTATATTACATTGTAAATAATTGGCAATGTCTTGTTTCTTAGAAGGACGTCCTACGGGTATAAGAAGCGTGAAAGCACCAGTAACAAAGATTCCTACTGGTACAGGAAGCGTACAAAAGGTGCCATTATGTGACAGATGTGGAAATGGCATTGTGTAAGTTCTTTGTTCTCAATTTTGTTATAGTTATAACAAACTGACGCATATCTCTTCAAATGGTAAAGATACAGAGAAAAGTATTTTAATCATGCTTTATAACATTCACCTATTTTTCTTTTAATTATTTTTATAAACAGTGGTACCGTGGTGAAGGCACGTGATAAGTACCGGCACCCAGAATGCTTTGTGTGCTCCGACTGCAGTATCAACCTGAAACAAAAGGGCTACTTCTTTGTGGAGGGACAGTTATACTGTGAAACCCATGCAAGAGCCCGCATGAGGCCACCAGAGGGATATGAAGCAGTTACTGTTTATCCAAAGTGTTAGTCTTATGCTAACACATACGTGCATGCAAACAAAAAGATATGAACAGCTTAGAGCAGCAGTGCCACTTGCTGAACTTAACTGCCTGAATCTAAGTAGCAGCTTTTAAATATTTTCTTTTGTGGAGGGTGGGAAGGGGTCAGAATGAGGCAGAAATCCCTATCAGCTAGCAGTAGCCTAGATACCAATACTATTTTGAAAAAGTGTTGTTCTTTGAAGCTGCCAATGTAATCAAATGGGGTATAAACCAATAAAGTTTTATATGCCAAACTGTATGGGGTTAAAATAACTTTGGAGCAGTGGAGCTCTTGTATGAGGAATACAAGATAATTGAGATGTTATTTTTGTTCAGAATTTGTTTCAACATGAACCAAATGTTTGCACAAATATTTTAGTAAATTTTGGAGCCTGATGCCAATATAAGCTGAACTCCTGTATCTCCAAGCTCTTAAAGGGCCAATCCACTAAAAAAAAGGAGTTTGCATTTATACTGCCAAACAGCTGTTGTTCACATCTGCTGTACACATACCTATCAGTAAAGGAATCTGCATTAAGCATTTGGTGAATGCTCAAGAAAATACTCAACAACTTTTCAAACATGTACATGCCTCAATGCATGTGCACTTTTTCTCGTAGCTGATGTAAGTAATTAATATCTTTCAGGGCATACACGCAAGTCAGGCTTTTGTATGCAGATACGGGTATGTGTAGGTTAATAACTCTGCATGCATCTGAAGAACTATGTGCCTCTAACAGTGGGTGTAAAAGTCCATGAACTCTTAAGTGTGCACCAGCTGAAGAAATTGGGCCCAGTGGTGTAACAAGCTGGGATTGCATCCTGGGCAACCCCTGTAGAAGAGGGGAGGATGCCACAGTCACAAGAGCAGGGTGCTCTGCCCGCCCTAGCTCTTGCCTTTGCTCTTTCAACAGCAGCAGGGTGTCCATGCACCAGCTGCTGCTGCAAGAGCAATGCTATGGGGCTGCTCTTGCTGCTGGGGTACAGCCTCAGCAGGTGCTCCTCCTAAGTCAGCGCCCGGGGTTGGTGCCCATCTCACCCACCCCAAGTTACGCTGCTGATTGGGCCATAGCATTTATAGTTAGTATCAGCCATAAAAATGTATTTTAATGGAATTTATTATAAAAAAAAAATGTTGCATCAACCATATAAACCTAGCAGATAAGCAGAAGGAAGTGAAGAAGGTGGCATTTTCGAGATTAGCTGGTTTAGAGAGCTTTCACAGGCAGCAATTTACTTTGCCAGATGCAAAGAATGGACCTAACACGTATGAACACCTAAGCATGGAATCCACTACACTTTTCTCCCATTCAATCATATTATAAGGTTAAATCATCTGAAAACTGAAACAAAACAAAGTATTGCGTATATTCTAAGTGCATACATAAAACGTTAAAAATGCATCTCTCAGTCTGAAACAAAAAAACCTATGTTTTTCAGCAGCTTACAAGATGCCATAAAGTATTATTTCAGAATGTAAATATTTACTAAATGTGTTTCTCATGTATTACATTTAACAGTTTTCAAATATGAAAGTATAAAATAATGTGCCCTATTATATAACATTGGTTGCTTAATTCATTTTCAGACACTGAATATAACTGTGCTTCCCAAGTATCAGAAAATTTATTTGCATTATTTTATTTTTCCATTGATCACATCCTGTAAAAGAAATCTAAATTTTCCTTTGAAAAGAGAAATATACATAACAGCTCCACTATTTAGAAACTTTCAATGTAACTGAGATTTTAAAATCATTATTTAATGTTAATTTCTTCTATGAAATAGCTAAAGGTAAAAATAAATCTACTACATACAATCAAAAGTTTTTATTTTGCTTTTCTGGTAGGAAATGAAAAAAGAAGGTATGAGGGACTAGTAAATTGACAATATCACAAACATGGCATTTTCAGCAGTATAACTGAGTGTGCTTACAATTTCTTGAGATACTGGTAGAGGTGAAACATGGATAGACCTTTATATTAGACATTGGAATATATGTTTAGGGGCAAGATTAGCTTTTTAAACCAAGGGGTTTGTTCCTTGAGGCAGAGAAACAAAATTAACTTCATCATTACAGCCAAAAAGCCTCCATCTTCCTTAAATCAGAGAAGACTAAAAATGCAAAGGCATTTTAACATGTGCTCTGGGTGTGGGGTGAGGCACTTTAATTAGAGTGGCTTTGAGAGTGCCCCTGTGCTTCAAAATGGCAGCAAGGGTACTTTATCTAAAGCTCATCAAACAAGCTTTAGTTAAAGCACCCCCACCACCACTTGAAGCATGGGGACACTGATACATGAGATGTAGAGGCTGGAGGGAGCACACTAATTAGCATGTCCCAGCAGACTCAATTGGGTCTGCTCTGACACACTGTAATTACAGCAGCCTCCTGGCATGTATACAGACATGGTCAGTATGTATTTTCAGGTTGAAAGATCAGCAACTCACTGGGTACATCTACACATGCAATTAATTTGCAGCAATAAACTCCAGCCCATATTACACTGGACTTTATTGCTCCTGGGTGTTAGGTTTGAACGTGCTCCTGTTACCACAGCATGCTGAACCAGGTTGGAGCAGCCTCGACTGGCAGGGAGCTCAAGGGAGTCAGCCTGCAAGCCCAGGGCTGGTCCGACCTGACTCAATGTGCTGTGGAGGAGCTGGCTGGGGCATGATGATGCTCCAGTGCAGGGCTAGCTGGCAGGCAGCACCCCTACCCCCTCCCCCCGAAGCTCCCTTGTGCCCCAGCTAGCCTTGTCAGTGTCTACATATGCATTGGTGTGCAATAAAAAACTCTGCCGCAGGATAGTACTTGTAGTTACAAGTATTAACCCGCTGCGGAGTTTATTAGTTTACTGTAGCCTAACAGGGCCAAACATGCAAACACTAGGCCATTTACTGCAGAGCTAATTAGACAGCTCTGCAGTAAATGTCTCTTGTGGATGAGCCCACTGCTTCTTATCTGCTCACACACACCCCAATCTAAATTTGGAAAAAGTAACAGGTATGTAAAACCAGGCTGTCAGGCTAAAAACTGCAGCCCATGATCTAATGCAAAAGGTTCTAGGGAAGTTTAATGGCATTACATTGTGATATGACACTATTTTAAGACAAGGTTTAAGGTTGCAAGCGACTTTAGCAAGACCAGAAGGTGAGCCTGTCTAATCATAGGTATCAAGGCCAATGACTTAACAGTGCTATAACAAAAAGAACATAGGAATATAGAAATGAAGGGCTTGAAATAAAGGTTTCTAGCTCAGATTAACCCAAAGTTCCAAGGACATGGCAAGAGGGAAGGGAGGGGGGAAATGTGAGCTGTCCTACAGTCTCTGCCAAATTCCAGTATGAAGGAACTAAATATATATTTAAAATTGAAGTGGAAGATATGGCTGCCCTTCTCTGCAGCATGCCAAAGGCTTCATTTTCTGCAGCATGTGTTCCTTAAACATTTCCTCTACAAAATATCTAGCCCTGAAGGGAAGTCCTTTATCCACTCATTTAAGAATGGTGTAGCCTATGATCCTGATAGTTTAAGGTTACAGGTGTCAGCTACACACAAATACTTTTTATAGTTGCAAGCTGTGTAGAGCCAGAAGCATTTATTTTTGGATAGAGAGTAAGATGCTAAGTATAACTTCATACGTTTGTTATCTGAACACTTCAGATGTTGATCAACAGGTGTAAAAAGTGTTTCCCAGATATGTTACTTCTACAAAAGGAGTAAGGTTATTTGTGGGTATTTTAAAAACTCAAGTTAAGCTGTACCTCTCACAGCATTGAAAGTGATAAATGTATCCAGAAGTAAACAAATTAATTATAACATGACTTTCACATCCTCTTTCTAAAGATACATGCCAGTTATCTGTTTGGGTATCTCTCTCAATTTCAAAGGAACACAAAGTATTTCAAATCTAGAGCATTTACAAACAGCCTACCAAAAGATACATTTTCAATTTTACAGTCATGTTTTTCCAGTCTTTTAAGCTTTTTTCTCTCCCTCATTTTGTGAAAAACATGTAAAGGGGGATTTTTGTGACTGACTATTCAAAAAGAACAGTGAAAATAACTATACAGAGCATAATATCAACAAAGAATGGCTCTCTCTAATTCATCTGAGTTACGATAATCTTAAGTGTTATTTGTAACTCTCATAGCTACAAAAAAATTCAAAAAATATAGCAAAAGGGGAGGGAGGGAAGTTATCATCAATGGGCTCAAATTACAAAACTTAGAACTAAAATATTTAGATTTCAGAGGATGCATCTACACATGTAATTAGGGTGAAGCAATAAACTCCAGAGCAGTTTGCACCGAGGGTTAACTGCTCCCAGGTGCAGTGTCTACACATGCACCCAGGACAGCAATGAACACCCAAAGTTCAGAGATGTTTAGGTCAAGAATCTTGGCTATAAAAGCAGAAGATAACTGCAAAATTTATATCTAGATGTGAAATGAGATTTCAAATGTCCCTAATGTTTCTAGGGTATATGTGTAAACCACTTTTTTTTTTTAGAATGTATACATTTAACATTCTTAATTTTTTTCACCTGGTCCCTACAACAGTCTGTGACCTAACCTGGTGGAAAATTAAAGAGGAAACAGAACAGGGGTGGGAATGGGATGGACTTAATTTAAATGAGATTTATTTTATTAAAATACATTTTTCTTTTTAAAAATAAACTTATTACTGTCTCTAGTGGGTTATGGAATAGAGAAAATCCCACACAATTTACTGATTCGTTTTGATGCACTGGCTGGGGGAGTAGTTAGCTGATTGCACGATTTCACAATGATTACACACTTAATTTATACAACACAATTTTATTTTAAAACTCTTTGCTACGTATATAACACTGCTTAGCCTTAAGAAACACCACAAACATTAAAAACACAATAATTACATATATCAGGAACAATGCTCCAAATGCACTTCCTTCCCAAACAATGCTATAAGAATTAGTGCTACAAAAACAACTACAATTACAACTAAAAGTTAAATTTGAATCAATACTGTTATTTTTCATAATATACTTACAATCCTAGAATTCCGAGAAGCCAAATACCAAAATATGGTTTCATTCCTCAGTAGTACGATTTAATGGGTTGGCCTCAGTAGTACGGTTCAATAGGCTGGCCTCAGCAATACAATTCAATGAGCTGGGCTCAGCAGTGATAGGACTACGTCCCCTTCCTTCAGTCCCTTTCGGGCGCTCCGCAGCTTCAGCGTGAACTAAGAGATTCGTGTTCACGGAGAGGCTTGATTAGGCGATCAATCTAATCAGACCTTATACTTGCGATTCTTCCTTCGTTGTTCTGCAAGTGAAGTCACCTCCAAATTGGGACAGTAAGTTACAGGTTTTTATTGAGTGAGCTGCCGTCATTGGGCTCCTCCTACTCAATTCATCATAACTCCCAAATTTGGGCTCGGATCTTACTCAACAGAAATTACCTTTGTTGAGCATTTTTAAATTATTCTTGGGGAGACTTCCATATCACTGTAAATACTCTTTTCTTTTTACCAGTCTGGTTAAAAGGCCTTAGGCTTTGATATCTTGGAATTTAGGACATTTACTTTCTTTGTAAAAAACTTCTAAAGGTACAATTTAGATTAAGGTTTTAGGCGAAGTCAGGACATTTTGCACGTAGCTCCGAAACAATGAGCTAGATAAGGAGATAGATCCTATCTTCTTCCTGAAACTGGCTAATGGGCAATCTTTACAAACATTCAAACTATTTCATTCAATATGACAATTACATTTGAAATAGGCAACTTCTGTTAGCACCCAAATGTATTTTAATTTTTAATTACAGTAAAATATATTCAAACAGTGTGTATTGTGCTACTGAAGTTTTAAAGAAAGTCAGACTGTGGAACTTCTGGAAATCTGATGGACACAACATTTTTCTTTGAGAAGCACTAAACACGGGGTTAATGACACTGGGAAAAGCATTTAGTAAGGCGGGTGAGAAGCCTCTATGCAAAAGAAAAATCAGCTTTCACATTTCTTACAAAATGGCTCCTCCCCACTTCTAGTCTCTAACTTTTGAATACAGATTTTTACAGGTGTCTAATCTGCATTTGAAACTATTTTTCTGTTAAAAATACTTATGCAGGAGTCTGAATTAATTTTTTTAGAATCCGGCTAGTAAGCCAGCT